AAAAGAAAAGAACAAGTGTTGGCGAGGATGTGGAGAAATGGGAAGCTTTCTGCACTGTTGGTGGGGATATAAAATGGTGCAGCCCCTGTGGAAAACAGTACGGCGGTTCCTTTAAAAGTTACACATAGAATTACCATGATCCAGCAATTCCACTTCTGGGTATATGCCCAAAAGAAGTGAGAGACATTTGTTCACCCATGTTTATAGCAGCGTCACTCATAGTAGCCAATAAGTGGCAGCAACCGAGTGTCCCTCAGTGGATGACCAGATAAACAAAATGTGATATATACACACACAGTAGAATGTTATTCAGCCTCAAACAGCAATAAAATTCTGCCACGTTGCCACAACAGGAGTGAACCTTGAGGACATCGTAGGCCGAGTGAAATAAGCCAATCACAAAAGGACAAATACTGTCTGATTCCACTTAGATGCGGTCCCTGGAGTAGTCCAGTCCATACGAACATAAAGTAGATGGTGGGAGCCAGGGGCTGGGAGGGGAATTGGGAGTTAGTGTTTCATGGGGAGGGAGCGTCAGTTTGAGACGATGAGAAAGTTCTGGGGATGGACGGTGGCGATGGCTGCACCACACCGTGAATGCGCTTCACGCCACCGAACTGCACATTTAAATGGTTAGGATCGTAAATTTTATGTTATATGTATTTTACCACCATTAAAAAATTTTTCAAAAATGACAGAGCCAGGCACGGTGGCATGCACCTGTAGCCCCAGCTACTAAGGAGGCTGAGGCAGAAGGATAGCCTGAGCCCCAGAGTTGGAGGCTGCAGTGAGCTGTGATGACACCACGGCGCTCCAGCCTGGGCAACAGAGTGAGATCCTGTCTTTTAAATAAAACAAAACAGACTACCTGATGTGGGCGATATTCACTTTGGAAAGCGCAGGGTAGAGGAAAGGATGGGAAATATGCAACCTCCAGACGAAACCAAAGCACGAGGAGCTCCAAGCGCCAAGTCCCACGTAGATGCTCTGAACTGGGGACATTAATGTGCGCCCAGGCTGCTTCTCACACAGGCAGCTCCAGGCGACATCCTCCATAGTGAGCAGCCGTGGGTATTTATTTCCTTACCGATTTAGTGACGGGTACCGATTCTCCCTAGCAATGCCAGGCAAGCCCGCTAATGAGTAGTACTAATTGTCACCTTTCTCCAGGTGCTTCCCCACGCCAGGCCTGTCACTAAGCACTCCACAGGAATTTCTCTGGCATTCAGCTGGCGAATAACTTTGGAGTCCCAGCTATGTATCTGGTTCAGTTCTAGGCATTGGGGCCGCCTTGGTGAGCTGGACAAACACAGTCCCAGCTCCCAAGAAAGAAGACCTGATATAACACAATATAAAGTGCACGTGTCGTGAAAGAGGTAAAGCAGGAGGTGGTGGGCTGAAGAACAGCCCCTCAAAAGATACCACTTCTGGCTAGGCACAGTGTAATCCCAGCAGTTTGGGAGGCCGAGGCAGGAGGATCGCTAAAGACCAGAAGTTCGAGACCAGCCTGGCCAACATAGCAAGACCCCATCTCTACAAAGGAATTTTTTTAAAAAAATTAGCAGGGCACGGTGGTGCTCACCTGTAGTCCCAGCTACTCAGAGGCTGAGATGGGAGAATCGTTTAAGCCCAGGGAGTTTGGGGTTACAGTGAGCTATGATCATGTCACTGCACTCCAGCCTGGGTGACACAGCAAGAGCCTGTCTCTAAAAAAAATAAGAAGATTCTACTTCTACTTCCTGTTGTCCCTGGAACCAGTGAATGGGACTTTACATGCCAGTGTCTTTACAGATGCAATTAAGTCGAGGATCGTGAGATGGGGAGAGGAGCCTGGGTTATCTAGGTGGGACTTAAATGTAATCACAAGTGTCCTTACGAGAAAGAAGCAGAGGGAGATTGGACACGCAGGAGAGGAGAAGGCGTGTGATGACGGAGACAGAGATTACAGTGACGTGGCCACAAGCCAAGGAGCCCCGGAAGCTGGAAGAGGCCAGGAACGGGTCCTCCCCCAGAGCGCGCAGAGAGGTCTCGGCCCTGCCAGCACCTGGATTTCAGACTTCCGGCCTCCAGAACCGGGAGAGAATAAATTCGTGTTGTTTTTAAGCCACCGAGTCTGCGGTCACCTGTGACAGCAGCCACGGGAAGCTCACACGCAGGGGCAGAGAACGGAGAATAGCTCTTTTAGACAACGTGGTCGAGGAGGGGTATCTGGGCAGAGGTTTGCGTGAGGTGAGGAACTGCCATGAAAGGGGGATTTCTTATTAAAGGCACTCATGTACACGCATGTGCACACGTGCACACACACACCAACATCTGGGTTCTATCTCTGACCCCTTCACTGCCTGGTTAGGTGGTCTGGGCCTCAGTTTCCCCATCTTCACCTGGCAGGGGTGACTGTAAAAAGATGATCTCTAGGCCCACCCCCATGTGACCTTTGCTGTGTGTGGCTTGGTGGGGGCGAGGGGAGGCGCCGCCATGTTGGCAAGCCCAAGAAGCCTGAGAAGGAGTCAACGTTTTCAGCCAAAGGGGCCACACGCATCACCTCCACCTTAGGCCTTAGACCACCTGGCTGCAGTATGGCTCCCATCCCAACCTCCACAGTCACCTCTCTAAAGGCCTGCCACTCCCACGCTCTAACACCCTCTATGGCTCCCTACTCCCCTCAGCCTGGCATCCAAACCCTTTCAGGCTCAAGGATCCCCCTTTTTGGTCAGCTTTGGACCCTTCTTTCTCCACCCAGTTTGTAAATGTTGGGGTTCCTTAGACCTACATTTGTCCCCGCTTCCTTCTGTGCACACCTCCTGGGGGTCTCACCCCTCCCGTGGCTTCAGCGAACCCATCTCGGCGGCGAATCTAATGTCTTGGTGTCCAACAACGACAGGTCCAGCTACCTCCTGGACGTCCCCCAGGGCATCTCCCAGACCTCAGATTCACCTCACCTCCTTCCCCCCCTTTCTCCCCACATCCAAACTGTTGCCCGGTCCTGCCAGTTGTCTTGCCTAAACATCTTTAGCATCCACCCATTCTTCTCCATCTCCGTCATCCCTGTGTG